GCCGATTCCCTCGCAGTTATCTACCTTCTAGTGAGTCCAGGGTGTTTTCGTTTGGGTTAAAACTTGTAGTAAGTGAGTCTATCGTCTGTTTTCAGTCTTCAATTCCTATGCCGGCTTGGACGTGGTGATCTCGGTGTCTTTACTCTGCCGCCATCTTCAAGTTCAGCTTTTTAATGTCAATAAAAATGAAATTATTTTAGTATTTTTGTTTTATAAATCAAGGTCATATAAGCTTGGTTATATGTCAGAATTTGTAGGTTATGCTTAGAACAAATTATGCTCTATCAATATTTTTACTATATAGTCTTGTCTGTAGAATGAACTCATGTTGTGTATAGAGTGGGAGTCTGCTGTGTAGATGCTTAAGTTTTGCAATCCTTAGGAGTTGTTTCAGGAATGGATGTGGTCACATAAATAGGGATACAGTTTAGAAACAAGAGAGAGCCTAGAACTTAGTCCTGAAGAACAGACTGATGTCTAGAGTTACAAAGGAAAAATAATCATAAAGGATACTGGGAAAGAAATCAGTTAAATGACATATCAGAAAAGCTGAGGGAAGAGACTTTCAGTAGGTAGGAGTGGACTGTGTGAAGTATTATTGGGAGGTTTTGTAAAATGAACTAAAAAGCATCCAATGAATTTGTCAATATGGAAATTTTTGATGGCTTTGTTAGAGGAGCTACAGTGAACTAGAGCAAGGAAGGCAGAAGAGCTGTTAAGACGGTAGGCTTTATATTTACAGTGGCAACTGGTCATGAGTTGGTCAGATATGTATTGAAAAGAGGCTTGATACATGGTGATTCAAAGGTGGCTTATATAGAATAGTTTTCCTTGCAATGGGGAGTAGTTAGACCTTGAAATCAGAACTTTAAAATTAAATCTTTTGTTCTTTTTACTCTTAAACATTGGTTATAAAATATTATTCTTTGGGCTTTCCCTAGTGGTGCAATGGGTTAGGACACAGCACTGCAAGCCAGGCGTAGCTGCTGCAGTGTGAGTTCAGTTCCCGCCCCAGAGGTAACCCACATGGCGTGGCAGACCTCTCCTGACCCACGCACTGCTCTCCTCAGCAGTGTACTTCGTGGATCTGCCTGTTCTTCTCCCTGCTCTGTCTCTCAGCACCCCTCACCTCTGGCCTGTACCCGAGTTGTGTATGAATAAATAAATAAATCTTTAAAAAAAATACATTATTCGGGCCCTCCCTGGTGGCGCAGCAGGTTAAAGCACAGCATTGAGAATCTAAAGCCGCTTCCGCATGAGTTCGATTCCCGCCTGCCCCGGAGGAGATCCACATGGCAAGGCAGACCTCTCCTGACCTTCCCGCTGCTCCCCTCAGCAGTGTACTTCGTCACTCTGCCTGTTCTGCTCCCCACTCTGTCTCTGGTGAATTCTCTCATCCTCCACATCTCTAGCCTGTACCCCAGTTCCATATGAATAAATAAATAAATCTTAAAAAAAAATACATTCTATGAAAAAAATGAGGCTTAGTCATAGATACTATAGTTTGGTAGACAGCTCAAATTATAACCCATTAAGAAACAAGACAAGAAGTAGTTAAGATGAAATGTCATCTGTAATCCTAACAACACTTACTTACCTGCCTCATGGCCTCTTAATTTACTTGTGTTAGGTTGTAAGTACTTTAGGGCAGAGACTGTTACATTATAACTCACATAATTTGCCATATATTATACTTGGGAAAGAAAGACTTACGATATTAATGGGAGTTCCATGGTTCTGTGCCTCCAGCTTAGAATGTAAAGGGCAGTAATAGGCATCATGCATGGATTAAGAACTAGTCAAAAATGATTCAGGTAATTTTTATTTGATATATTTGGGATTTTATTTTATGATAGCAACTGAAATATAGGGAGCCAAGATGAGTAAGTTTATTAGATAAGGTAGGAGGAAAACTAGCAAAGGTTTAAGATAACTTATTTTTAAAAAAGAACCACTGCTTATTAGTTTACTAGTTTACATTCTTAGACTTATCTTTTGAATGGGTTTTTGTCTATATACTTTTTAGAAACTTGTGATTGTTTTTATTACTAGCTCAACACAACTGTGAAAAGAAATGTGATGAAACTCGAGTTATGATCTTTTCTTCATTTCGAGATAGTGTTCAAGAAATTGCAGAAATGCTTTTACAACATCAGCCAATTATTAAAGTCATGACTTTTGTTGGCCATGCCTCAGGGAAAAGCATGAAGGGTTTTACCCAGAAGGAACAACTAGAGGTAATTATTTTTGGAAATATTTAAAGTAAAAATGAAATTTATTATCTTTGCTCATAGTGCCTTTTTTGTTTCATCTCACTGATTTATAAGCTACTTGTTAAAAATACTTTTATGGTGAACATGTAAGTAAAGACAAGTATATTTCAAAAACCAAACAAGTGTTTTTGCAGTTTTGAAATTTAAAATATATGTATTTTGTAAAGTATAATGGTAAAGTAGAAAACCTCAGAAATCAGGGTGGCCCAAATGGTTGGAGCATGGCATTGTGAAGCTAGTAGCCACAGCTGTTTCAGCGAGAGTTCGATCCCTGGGCAGGGAGATGACCAACATGGCACAGAAGACCTCTCCTGTCTCCCTCCCACTGCTCCTCTCAGCAGTGTGTTTCAGTAGATCTGCCAATTCTGCTCCCTATTCTGTCTCTGGTGAAACCTCTCACTGCCTCTGCACCTCTAGCCTGTACCCCAGTTCTGTGTGCATAAATAAATAAATCTTTAAAAAACAACAACAGCAATGATTTAAAAGGAAAGAGAACAACTCTCAGGGCCCTTCCTGGTGGCACAGCGGGTCAAAGCACAACACTATGAAGCTATCACAGCCATTGCAGCATGAGTTCAGTTGCCGACCAGGGAGATTACCCACATGGCGTGGCAGACCTCTCCTAACCTGCCTGCTGCCCTCCTTAGCAGCGTATTTCAGTACATCTGCCTGTTCTGCTTCTCACTCTCTCTTGTGAATCTTCTCATCCCTGCACCTCTGGCCTGTACCTCTGTTCTGTATGTATAAATAAAAAAAAAGAAAAAGAAAAACTATGAAATCATACTTGCTAGGTTGAAATCCTGATTTTACTATAAGCATTCTTATTCTTTTGCTTTAGTTTTCCTTATCTGTAAACATACTTCTTAGAGTTTTCATAAGCATTAAATGAAATTGTACTCTAGAGCCTTCAAATAAATGTTTACTATTTATTTTAAGTCACATTAGTTATTCCAAATAAATAATGAGATTATGTATTGTTATTTAAAAAATTTAATTTAAAAATGTGACCAGGGTTCTTCCCAGGCAGCAAAAAAGGTTAAAGCACAGCACTACGAAGCTAGCAGCAGCTGCTTCATCACTAATTCTATCCCTGCCAGGGAGGTGGCCCACATGGCAGAGCAGACCTCTCCTGACCCACCTTTGCTCCTCTTAGTAGTGTACTTTGTTAATCTGCCTGTTCTGTCCCTACTGTTCCCTACTTTTTCTCTGGTGAGTCCTACTGGTGAGTTTTACTGCCCTTGCACCTCTGGCATGTACCCCAGTTCTGTATGTATAAATAAATAAAAACTTTTAATTAAAAATTGTCAGCAGAAGAAGCCATTGGTGGTATAAGAAGTGAATAATTTTCTAATACTATGATGTGAGTTTTTTCAAATTTAGATTTCATTTTTTTTTTTTTTAAAGATTTATTTATTTGTGCATACAGAACTGGGGTACAGGCCAGAGGCTCAGGGGCGGTGAGAGGCTTCACCAGAGACAGAGAGGGGAACAGAACAGGCAGATCGACGAAGTACACTGCTGAGGGGAGCAGCGGGTGGGTCAGGAGAGGTCTGCCACACCATGTGGTCACCTCCGGGGCAGGCGGGAATCGAACTCATGCGGAAGCGGCTTTAGATTCTCAGTGCTGTGCTTTAACCCACTGCGCCACCAGGGAGGGCCTTAGATTTCATTTTTATACACTGTTTATAGATTTTTACGCATTAGCTACAGATTCTGAAATATTCTTTTAGTAATTTTTTATACCACTCCTTACTCAGAAGAGTCTGTTTAAATTGGTTGAATCTGATGGATGGAAAGTGTCTGGGATCTTTTCCTGAATCACTAGATGCTTCCTTTGCTTCAGGTTTGATTTTAAGTACTTTAAAGTGTTCAGACATCTAGTGGGTGATTATTACCCACTCTTAACATTTGTATATGAATAAAAAATGAAGTGAATTTTTGCCTGTGAAGTCAGGCATTTTGAAATATTCATAGTACCCAGCTGATCTCTGGCCATTTTCATTACCCAAAAAACCCAAAATGACTATTTCCTGAATTAGTCAGGTATCATAAGATACCTTAATGATTTTGTTAACTTTGTCTTTAATCACTTATATCAATAATACTTTTATGTAGGCCAGAGTAACAAGCACTTTTACTACACCTATACATTGCTTTCAAAGCAGCCTTTGTATTCTCCAATATGCTTTCCCCTGCGTGGTGGTGTCACTGTGGCTCTCCCTCCACCAAAGCACCCATAGGCCACCATGGTTCCCCAGTTCTCACTCCTTTTCTGGATTCATTTCTCCAGTTCCCTAGTTTTTACTCCTTTTCTACCCCCAGATACTCTGAAAGCCTAAGGTCAATGGTCAGTTTTCAAGGGTTGGTATTAAATTTTGTCTTTTTTGACCCTTTGTTGGTTTTCCTATATTCCACAAGTAAGTGACACCATCAGTATTTATCTTTCTCTTAAGGGAGACTGTTGGACCAGTGCTACTAGAAAGGTTTATAAGAGGACTTAACTTGCTAAGTTTGTATTTATTTATTCAACTTTTCAGGTTTTTTTTTTTTTTTAAAGATTTATTTATTTTTGCATACAGAGCTGGGGTACAGGCCAGAGATGCAGTGAGAGGATTCACCAGAGACAGAGTCAGGAGTAGAACAGGCTGACTGATGAGGGGAGCAGCCGGCAGGTCAGGAGAGGTCAGGAGAAGTCTGCTGCACCATGAGGATCACCTCCTGGGCGGAGATTGAACTCATGCTGAAGTGGCGTTAGCTTCTTAGTGCTATACTTTAACTCTCTGCGCCACCAGAGAGGGCCACAGGTTGTTGTTTTTAACAATATGATTAACTTATAGATTAAAATTTTGGAGTCAGATCTAAGGTCAAATGTTGGCAGTTATTATTACTTAAAAGTAGTAGTATGAGCTTGAGCAGTCTTTGTCATGGATCTATAATTGTTTATATACTTTAGTAGAGTTCTTATTTTCTAAAATTTACTTTTTGTATACAAGATCCTATCACTGCCCATCTTCCTAGTCATTTTGCTCAGTCATTCTTGTATTTTAATAGGCATTTATAAGGACCTTGGTCAAAAAGCATGATTGATTCCTCTGAATTACCATCATTCAATTTTTGTTTCTGGTCTCTACCTATCATTGAACATTATCTTATTTACCAATAGACCGAAATCTGCAGTGTTTTGGTGTTGACATATATGGAGAAATTGAGGCTCAAGGCAGTTGAGCACTGTGTTTGGAGACCTAAGGAAAGTTTTCAGAATGTTTCATTGACTTTCATTTACTTGTTTTCATGCCATTGTAGTTTCATTAAATGGATGAGAGAAATACTGCCATACAGGAAGGAAAATGCAGTGTTGTTTTTAGTCTCCCTTCCTCTGAGAAGAGAAGCTTCTCTGATTGATGAAAATCCTGGAGAGGACAGAGGACAGTTGAGTTCCTTTTGGAGGTTTTTTTTTTAAAGATTTATTTATGCATGTAGAACTGGATACAGGCCAGAGGTTCCGGGCCGGTAAGGGGACGCTTCAAAGAGTGGAGAGCAGAACAGGCAAATCAACTAAGTACACTGCTGAAGGGAGCAGCGGGCCTGGCCAGCTTGCAGTACTGTGCTTTAACCCACTGTGCCACCAGGGAGGGCTTTGAGGTTGTTTTTAGAAAAATAAGGGGTGTTGTGAGAAAGTTTCTCTCTGCAGTGTCTGTTTTTTCAAGTACCTAAAGTTCAAAATAACCATATATTACAGCATGACCTGAACATCTACAGTGAAATTTTGAGATAGCATGTTCTGCTATGCTTTGCTGGAGAGACAATATAAATGGCAGCATATGGATTTTAGGGAGTAATAAAATATTACAACTGTAGTTATTCCTAACAATAAATTTAGGTCTAGGATACAATGAATAGCAACAAATGATCTGGGTCATATTGGTGCTGCATGCTTCTCTTAGTGATGCTGGCAGTAATATCTGGGGGTTCTCATTTATGTATAAATTATTAGCAAGCCCTTTGGGCATTCCAGCCCTTATGAAAAGCAAAGGAATTAGGACTGCTCTTTCATTTTATCACAATATCTTTTGGCTTATATGCAATTTTGTCATTTTCCATTTTGATACTGGCAAAATACTATTCTGGATGCCAGTCACTATTTTTGGATGTGGAAATTTTATGTAAAATTGTCTTGCATTTACATTTAGTTATTTTAAAATTATTTTTACTTTAGGTAGTGAAAAAATTTCGTAGTGGTGGTTACAATACATTGGTTTCAACTTGTGTTGGTGAAGAAGGTTTGGATATAGGAGAAGTTGATCTTATAATATGTTTTGATGCCCAGAAGAGCCCAATTCGTCTTGTACAACGAATGGGTAGAACTGGCCGCAAACGTCAAGGCAGAATTGTTGTTATCCTTGCTGAAGGACGAGAAGAACGTGTAAGTAGATGTATAGAAACATAATTTGATAATTGATATTTGAGAAATATAGACCCAAAAACCAAACATCAATCTTTTAAAATTCAAATAACCTGTAGGTAATTATGGATGATTCTCCCTTTTCATTACATTCTGAATATTCTTTTCTTGTAGTTAGAATTCTTGACTGTATTGTTTCCTAATTTATCCATTGTAAAAAATGAATTTTTATACTTCAATATTAGTATAAAATATACGGATGCAAAAGTCAATGCATACTACTTTGTTTTACTCTTTCCTGTGTTTCAAAGGCCTGTTTTTGTGTGTGTTTAGTCTCACTTTTTAAAAACTATGATAAAGCTGAGCATTTTTTTTTTACACTTTAAAGGATTGCCTAAGTCATTCAACTAACTAACTAATCCATCAAGTAACCAACCAACCAGCAAGAATATGTGCCAGTGATAGGGTGTGGACTTATGTATGCTTAAAAGTTATTTTCCAGGCCTTTATAGAAAAGTTTGCTGAGTGATAAGGGATTTGAATCATATTCAAACCTTGTAACAGTTTTGATTATGTAAAATATGATTTACATAATATTAGCGTTTGTTACACATATGTATTAACTTTTGTAATTGGGTAGGACTATTTTTGTAGTCTTATATGTAGTTTTTACATTTAGACTTTCTTTCATTAAATGTGATAGCTTAAAATTATTTAAAATGTTTACATACCCTGTAAAAGCAATTTTAAAACAGTTACTTTTATTAAAATACTATTGTCCCACATCCTTGCCATTGATTTTACAGTAGAGGATTCCCCCTGCCAAGGTAGTGGTGACCCTAGCACTCCCACCACTGCAGGACCCATAGCCTTCCGTCAAAGTCCATTGTGCTCACCCTTCTCCACCTCAACCTTACCCCTCCTCTACTTTCCCCTTTGAAACTCTTTAAGTCAGTGGTCAGCTTTCAAGTACTGGTTTTAAAGATTGTCTTTGTGTGGCTTTTCTATATTTCACATTAAGTGACATCATTGACATCATGAATTTTTTGTTTTTATTTTTTGGTGAATAGTATTCTATTAGGTGTCTGTCACATTTTCTTGATCCACTCATCTGTTTTGGGCATTTAGTATGTTTTTATAGCTTGTAAATAGTGCTGCTACGAACATGAGTGCAGGTTTACTTTCAAATTAGTGTCTAGAAGTGGAATTGCTGGGTTTTATGGCAGCTACATTTAAAGAAACTCAAAAATAGCATTACATGTATGATTTCCTTTGTACATTATAATTATATAACCTCTATATAATAGTAATATAGTTACTAAGGTAGGCTTTTGTAATGTTAAAAACAAACCGACAGTCTAATTGCCTTTTTATTAAATGCTTTATAAATTGTCAGCACTCCTGTCTAACAAGTAGAAAGGTGCTCCAAGGAGCTACACAAAATGAAAGAATTTATCTTAAGAAATGGGCAGAACAAGACTATTAACAAAAGACAAGAAAAGGTTGTTTCAGTCGAGATTCACCTTACTGATGTTGAGAAGGAGATTCTGAACTGACTGAATTAAAATTCCACTTTGGGAGAGGCTTAGCTTTTAATCAGTCTTGGTGGGATTCAGTGTAGGTGACTCCAGTTGGGCCCATTGATTTATCTTAAACTATAATGTTAGATTGTGAAAGTTTTTATCAAGAGTTAATAGGACAAATTTAAAACTCAACTGAAATCTGCTTCTATAAGTATTTAAGTAGATGAGTTTAATTTACTGTTTAAAATAAAGCCAAATTAAAATAGTTATTTCTTACGACTATATGATAAGAAATAACTATTTTAATAGAAATAATGTAATGATATTTATTTGTTTTGCAGACTTATAATCAAAGTCAGTCCAATAAAAGAAGCATTTATAGAGCTATATCAAGTAACAGGCAGGTCCTTCATTTTTATCAAAGAAGTCCACGAATGGTTCCTGATGGATTCAATCCACAGTTACATAAAATGTTCATCACACATGGTGTCTATGAATCAGAGAAATCTTGGAACTTGAAGCAAAAGTCATCTGTCTTTTCCTATAGGAATGGTAAATAAAAGAATTTTGTATTTATACAAGCATCCTTTACCCTCAGCCCCACCCTGTTGTTAGCTACCAAGTCACATTTTGATATATTTTTTTCTTGGAGAAAGTCAGGGTACATTGTAGGGTGTTACAGTTGTTCTTTTTGGGAAGGATACTTTAATTTTCCCAGTACTGAGTTTCTTTTACTCTACTGCCTGTTTTTCCTTTCCTTCGTCATGTGGTAATCTTTTCAATAGAATTCTGAGATCTGTCCTTTATTAAAAATTGCTATAATATTGGCTCATGTGCATTTTTTGGTATTTTTCTTCTGTTCTTCCTGACTTTTGACGTTACAGTGATTCTTCTTAACCAAGATTGTATATATAAATATACTGTTTTATGCTTTAGTATATAATTCACTTGATTTACAGACCTCAACTATTTTTTTATAATATAGTAGTTTATTTTTACATCATTTTGTACATTTTTTTTTCATCTCAATTGTAATCCCCGTGGGTTTCCCATCACCAAGTCACCCGTGTGCCATCACCATAGTCCCATGCACTGCCCTCACCCCCTCCCCCGTTTTTGATTCCATTCCCCACTCCACCCCCACAAAATGTCTCTGGTATATGGCTGTTCATTATTCTTATTATTTTCTCGCCTGGTCCATCATACTCTGCTATGAGCGAAACCATCTGGTATTTTTCTTTCTCTTTCTGGCTTATCTCACTAAGCATGATCTTTTCCAGCTCCACCCAAGTTGCTGCAAAAGACATGTGTTTCTCTTTTTGGTTGCTGAGTAATATCCCATTGTATCTATGTACCACATCTTTTTAATCCACTTTGGGCATTTGGGCTGCTTCCATGTTTTTCCAACTGTAAATAAAGCAGCAATAAACATGGGGGTACAGGTATCTTTTTCAGTCATTGTTTTTGTGTCTTTGGATAGATACCTAGGAGTGGGATTGCTGGGTCTTAGGGGGGAAGCTTAGCAGTTTGAGGAACCTCCAAACAGTTTTCCATAGTGGTTGTACTAATTTGCATTCCCATCAGCAGTGCAGGAGAGTTCCTTTTTCTCCACATCCTCACCAACATTTGTTGTTGCTAGTTGTTTGAAGATGGGCCATTCTCACTGGGGTGAGGTGGTATCTCATTGTGATTTTAATTTGCATCTCCCTTATTATGAGTGATGTTGGACATTTTTTCATGTGCTTGTTGGCCATCTGCATTTCCTCTTTGGAGTAGTGTCTTTTTAGCTTTTCTGCCCATTTTTTGATGGGGTTGTTTATTTTTGTTGAGTTTTGTCAGTTCTCTGTATATTTTTGTAATCAGTCCTTTATCACTGCTTTTGTGTGAGAAAATGTTTTCCCAATTAGTGGGCTGGACCTAAACTATTTAAAGTGATTCAGAGAGTAGAATGCTTTCAATTTTTAGAATTTTACATCTTAGAGCCTCAGATTAGTAGATATGAAAGGAACCTAAACAATTACTTAGTTCAAATCCCTTGCTTTACAAAAACAGCTTCTTGATTCCTAACTCAGTAATTTTTCTGCCTTCCTCTGTATTGGACCAGAATGTCTGCTTTATATTATTTAACCTTTCCAGTTTGCTAATTGTCTTCCTTTATATATGACTTTGGAAATCAAAAGGGATTATCTGTTCATTTTTTATAAAGTATATTCTTATATTATTTTCTTAAAGTACTGAGTAGATCTTTCCTATCTGACTTCATTGACTTTGCTCCTTCCAACTGAAAAGCTAAAACTAAAACCCTTTTTTTTAAAACTTGGTAGTTCCCTATTTCTTCCTCTTTGCCAAGCTTTAGATGGCTTTTCCAATATTGTCGTGATAGGATAATGATACTGATTTTCATTTGTAAGTTATCTGACTGTGTTGTCTCAGGTCATAGACATTAAATGTCTAAAGGGAGAGTCCAAAAGAAGCCAGGACTGAGAGTCTAGCCACCTGGCTGTGTTCTTTCGATGAAGAAGTAATCACCAAAGTTTAGCTCCTAGACAGAGCATACACTAGTACTTTCAAAGAGGTGAGAAAAGTTTAAGAGATATGTAGAAGCAGGAAGTCAGAGCCAGAATATTATGTGATCAATACTAGTTTTGAGAAATAGAATCAGTAGTTTAGCAGAGATGGATAGACATTTACAGTAAAGCCTGAGTTGATATTGTGTATTTTGTGTTTGCCTTGAAGATTTATTTTTTTTAACTTTTAAAATTTTTTTTTTGAACTTAAAGGAATAAGGCAAAGTAATTCAAAGAAAGATTGGTTATTATCAGAAGAAGAATTTAAATTATGGAACAGACTTTATAGATTAAGAGAGAGTGATGAAATTAAGGGAATAACATTGCCTCAAGTTCAGTTTCTGTCTTTTCAAAATGAAGAAAATACACCTGTAAGTCGAACATGTTTTCACATGCATTTTGTAATGATTGTATAATATCTTTGGGAATTAAGAGAATGGTTCATGATCAGAATGTCAAGTTACTTAAAAATTTAAGAATGTGAACAGTTTAAAAAAATTAGCTACTGACTTTCTTATATTCTTTATTTTATATATGTACATATATATTTACATGACTGCAATGTGTTCAAGTTCTGTCTTTTTTGCATTATTTTTTACCATATGAATATTTCTATATAGGCATAATTTATGTGGTACTTTCAATATATTGGAGTTTGTTTGGCAACTTTTTCCTATTGTGTTTTGGGATTCTTTTTAATATATTAACAAAATTATTGTTGTTATGAGCATCTTTTTACAAACTTGTTTTGATTCTTTGTTTTGAAATAATAGTAAAACTTTAAACCGGACAGTGTTTATTTTATTTTTAGCAAATTATTTATAAACTTAATGAAAATCAAGGGAATTGATCAAAAATTACACATGTGCCTAGAGAGCTGGATAAACAAGCTCAGGAAAGATTAATTTTAGAAGACATATAGGGTTTGAAATATGTGATGATTCAGAATTTTATTCACTAACAGGAAAAATGAGGAATGACAGCAGGCATGAAGAGTTGGGATCAGTAACAATGAATGATTTATGAAGAGTTGGGATCAGTAATAGTGAATGATTTATGAAGATCTCTGTATTATAATGTGGAATATAAACCTAGCAGAATAATAGTTTTAAAACACAGATTTTCTTAAATATTTGCTTTTAAAATGGAGCAGAAAAACAGATATGGCAAATCTGTAGCTCATATACCAGTTGTTTTAAAAATATGGTATATTTTAAAATAATATACTTAAAAGGATAGCTTTGAACTTTATGAAATTTTTACCCTGCGATTTTAGTTGAAAGTACCATAGTGAAGTAAATTATTTGTTAAGCTGTTTAATCTGTATTTTAAGTTTGATTTTAAATCACTTTGTAAAGTCTGCATTTTTATCTTTTTTAAAATCACTAATGAAGACTAAAGAACCAACCAGTGGAATTCATCAACTCTCTCTTTCTGAGTGGAGATTGTGGCAGGATCGTCCTTTTCCGACCTACCATGTTGATCATTCAGATCGATGTCATCATTTTATAAGCATTATGAAAATGATAGAAGAAATGAGACACGAAGAGGTAGGATTTTATTGTAATTTTCTCTTGTCGGTATGATAGTGAAACTAGAATCCTTAATCTTTTATTCATCTTATTCTGATTTTGTAAGAAACAGTATTATAAATAATTATAGCTAGAGTATTTTGTTTTTCTCAGTAGCTCTTTGTGAGATCAGTAAGAAACCAGTTTTCTGCCTTAGAAGTAGACTTAATTAATCAGAAGACTGTCATCTGTAAATATTGATATAGTAAAATTTTAATATACTTAATGACTTACATAAATACGTTTGTATAACTAATTTAGGATTCTCACTAGATTAGGGATTTATTGAAATATTTTGTAACATTTGTCATGTCTCTTTCCTGAGTTTGGAGAATTATTGGTTCCTAAAGTAGTTTCTTGGTTATTCTATCTTGAGAGAGTCAGAATGATGAGCATATCTTGATTATAAAATCCAAAATGCTAGGGTTAGAATCCCAATTTTACCTTTTACTGTTCTTCCCTCAGGAAATTACTTAACCTCTTCATGCTTCAGTCATCTGTAAAATGGTGATAATGATAATACTTTTGTCATTGGTTTTTGAGTTTAAATGACTTAGTACATGTAAAACACTTAGGTTAGTAAATAACATAAGTACTCAATAGATTGCAACTTTTGTTTTTATTTTTACTTTCTTAAATACATGTAAACAAAGGAATTAGTTGTGGATATCAGGAAACCTCTGCCATCAAATTAACACTTACTGAGGTAGTGACCTTTATAAGTCATTCTCTATTTGTGGTCCTGCAGCTTTTTATCAATGAAGAAGCCAAATAAAATATTCTGTGTATGGGGAGCAGCATAGAGACAGACATCCTCACATTAATATGAAATTTATCTATTAGTCAAAAGATGGAGAGCTAACTGCTTGAATCCCTAATGAGGAATCTGATTAAAGTAGCCTTCCTGGGGATGAGTGGAGGGTAATGTAGACTGTAATTTTACAGATAAGAACTTCACTCTAAGAAGTTTTTCCTTGGGAATTTTCTAAAAATAATACTTCAAGTTGATCCTTGAATGACAAGGAGTTAGAGGCCCAAACCACCATGCAGTAAAAATAGGCATTAAACTTTGACTTCCTAAAATAATTTGTTAGACATACCAATAACATAAACAGTTGATTAAGAAGTACTTTATCACATATATACTGTATTCTTACAATAAAGTAAGCAAGCTAAAGAAAGTAAATATTATTAAAATCACAAGGAAGAGAGTAAGCCCTTTAGCACCGTACCTGTATCAGTACAATAACTTTACATTGTTGATTTATAAGAAAATCCACAGATAAGTGGACTTGCGCATTTCAAACTGGTGTTGTTCCAGAACCTACTATATATTACAGCCTATACACTATTACTTGAGAGGGTCCTAAAAGTTGTTCTTAGTTTACCTTCATCAAAAGAGTAAATTTTGCATATATTTCTGTGTTTTTCACTCATATATGTTAATTTTTTAATTTATTTTTAGGATGTTACCCTGACGGTTAAATGTTGGACATGAAAATACTTAATGCTTATTATATTTTTTGTGTATACATTAAATTTATTCTTTCTACAATAGTTATAGGTCTTCCTTGTATTGAATACTAGAGATGAAAATATTAATTGATTAAAGCTGATTTGTGATAATTTCATAGATGTGTCATTTATACATTTGATTAATCAGAATAATTTTTAAAAGTAATTTTAAAATAAAATAACTTCATTAATGTAATGTTTAGAAAATATTTTAATACAGTGAAGCTCTTCCATAGAATTGGCTTTTTTTTTTATTAAAAGATTTATTTATTCGTACAGAACTGGGGTACAGGCCAGAGATGCGGAGGGGGAGAGGATTCACCAGAGGGAGCAGAACAGGCAGATTGACTAAGTACACTGCTGAGGGGAGCAGTGGGCGGGTCAGGAGAGGTCTGCTGCGCCATGTGGATCTTCTCGGGGCAGGCGGGGATCGAACTCATGCGGGAGTGGCTTTAGTTAAATTGGCTTTTTTATTTAGTTTTCCTGTGACTTTTCATTTTCCTTTTTATAGGGAGAATGCAGCTATGAATTGAAAATTAAATCTTACTTACAAATGGAAGATGTTAGCTCAACATTTAATGCTCCTAGAAACAAGTGTAATTCTCTTGCCAATGACACCTCTACTAGTAACAAGAAATCTTCATGTACAAAGAAAAATCAAGGCAGCTCATTTTCAGTGACAGAATCTAATGAAGAATGTACTAAAGATGTTAAACAAACTGGTGTCAAACCTACAAAAATCAGTTTTCTAAAGAATAAAGCTTCTAAAGGACTGAAAAAACATCAGCCTAACAAAGAAAACAGTAATACGCATTCTTTAAAGACTGATTGCAATTCTGCTGTTGAAAGTATTTTTCAGGTAGATCGAAATGATAAAAGGGCATCAGAGACAGATGAAGTGGCTGCCTCATGTGCGATCAATGAAAACATTGCTAATCAGTCATGTGGATTATTAGCAGATTGTCAGGTTACAGATAAATTTATTAGTTCGTATGCTGAAAATTTTTTCGATTCTGGTTATCACAGTTTCAGTGATGAGAAATCTGTTTCATCTAACTTATTCTTTCCATTTGAGGAAGAGCTTTATGTAGATACTACAGATAAACAATTTGATAATTGTCATTTGACAAAAGAGATACTAGCTAATGTGGAGAAATTTTTATCTCATTCTCCTCCACCTCTCAGTGGACTTTCAAGTTTGGAATTTGAAATTACTAAGGGTTCTGTACTTGAGAATTTTTTTTTCCTACCCTACACAGAATGTTTACAAAATAATAAATCTACCTATTTGATGTCATGTTCACCAATAAATTCTCAACAGAATTTGGAGTTGAATTCACCTAAACTTAATCATCCTTCTGAAAAAATATATCTTTATGATGCAACTAATGACCAGCTTTCTGATGAGCGAGGTTTCTGTGACTATGATAAATTACACAGAGATATGAAGGAAAATTTAGTATCCAACAATCATGTTCATATAAACATTGATCCTCCAAAATATTTTGGTGAAAAGAATCATGATGGTAACAATGACCTCCCAATATTGCTCACTGATCAGAATGAGAGTTTACCATTATTTGATGATGATAGTACAGAGATTGTTGATGTGAGCCTTTCTCCCACAAAGAGTAAGTGTAAATCTTTATGTGTATCAGACAAAACTGCTCTAAGTGAAATGTCATTGGTTTCTCACTTCTTAATTTCTGATGAACATTTGTTAGATAGTAATTCTGAATCTCAAGATCAAATCACATGTGATACTAATGGTTTGAAATTTCAGGAAGATGTGAAAGTTGTATGTGAGGAAAACTTAAAGACTGATGAGAATATTTTTGATTGTTCTAACGATCTGTTTTCTGTTACATTTGATTTAGGATTTTGTAGTCCAGATTCTGATCATGAAATACTAGAACATATATCAGACAGAAATAAGGATAGAACTTTAGATGATCTGCCTGGAAGGTATTTAGATAGTAAAGAGATAAGTGATACAAATTATGTTTCATATCAAGCAGTAATACCAAGAAAATCTATAGATGGTTCTACAAGTAGAACCATTACTATCACATCAAGTGAAAATAAGAAGAGTTCAGCTTCTGCATGTTTTCAACTGAGTACAGCAGAAAATAAAGACTGTATGTCTCCTGGTTATTCTCAGTTTTCTTTGCCAGTAAAAGAAAAAATTATGAGTACACCACTTTTTGAATCAAACACAGTAAACTCATTTTTGAAGAAGAAAAAGGAAATACCTAAGATCCCAGATTCTAACAAAGAAAAAGTAAATCTACAAAGCTTCAAAGAAGCATTGAATTCAACTTTTGATGACTCAGGCCTTTCAATGGAAAAAACTAAAAACAGGGAACAAATGAATTTGCATCAATCCTGTCATTTTGTTGAAGGTAAGATTCCATCTAAATAAAACATGTTTTAAGAATAATTAGATAAATTATGAAATTTTTCAAAATGTAATTTTTCAGTGTAAGGTTTATTAGATAATAAGAAAAGTATATATTTTTTGGGCACAAAATGTTAGTTTAATGATGTTAACAAAAGTTACTTTTCTTGTGTTTTTCACTGTTGCTTTTTTTTTTTAAGATTTATTTATTTATTTGTTCATACAGAACTGGGGTACAGGCCAGAGGCTCAGGGGCGGGGAGAGGCTTCACCAGAGACAGAGTGGGGAGCAGAACAGGCAGATGGAC